CCATGCCTAAAGGTTTTGTTTTTTTTTTTTTTTTTTTTTTCAAAACAAGACTTGTTCTTCCACTGGCCTACACAGCAGTAACCCCAGGGGGTGCTGAATTGAAGAACTGGGTTTTTTCTTTGGAAAAGTATGTTTTGCTTTCTGGCCATGCATCGCTCTTGGCTAAGTAAATCCTTAGGTAAGGTTAACTCAGGTCTGCAGTCACTTTCTATATATAGGGAAATAGCTGCCTGCCTGCTGTATTCTTGTGGTGCTGATCACCCTGGGGAGCAGATACGCAATTTTAGTCATTTATATCAAGGGAAGTAGAAATGAGAGGGAACTTACAGAAAGCTGTCAGTGAGGCTTCTTGCTAGACTGGAAGACTTCCTTTTACAGTCCTTATTTCCTTGTTTTATTTGCTGAGTTTTGTCCCGTGTTGTGACTGTCCAGTGTGGTTTTGGAGATAATCATGCTAGTGATGTTAGTCTTACAATGAAATGTGAAACAAAATCTCCCATCATCTGTGATCATTTATTTTCCTCTGATGTTTTTCAGAAGAACTGATCATATTCCAGGTTAGGAATAACATGGTGATTTATTTTTTTTTAACTCTACTTTTAGCTTCAAAAAATGTGTGTTGTGTGTGGAAAAAATTGGAAGAACAATCAACAGTTCTGTTTCCCCAAAATACTCTTCACTTTAGTCCTAAAATTTTCATATTAAGCATGGTGTTCTGCTGCTTGTTGACATGCTCTTCTTGACTGTGGTTCAATACTGGATGAAGCATTCTTGGTTTGTATATGTGGTAGTAAATGGCTTTGTATGGCATTGAAGGAAAGGTACCGTATAAGTGCAGGAGAAATTACCATCAAACACTTTTTTTTTCAGTTACAACTCATGCGGTCATTTCAAAGACTATGTTTCAAAATCTCTATTGTAGAAGAAAAGAGACAGCATTGGGGAAAAAAAGAACAGGAAAAATATACTGATCATGTGATATTTCAAAGGCACAAAATGATGCTGAGGTACTCTCCAGTATCTGCAGAATCAGACCTCTTATCCTACCAGCATGCAAAAGATACAAAAAAGTGTTGAGGAGGCTTTAAATTACATGAAATTAATTCTTTTAAGGATTAGTAATGTCAGTATCACCTTGTTCCAGCAACTCAGCATTTTCTGCTGTAAGCTGCTGCTTTTCTGAAATATATGAGTAGGTTGTATAGATTAAAGAATGAAAAGCTCCACATTTTATATTTCGTGTTATTAACTGATAGCAGAATTTTTCATATGTAGTTGTATCCAGTGATGCATTTAATTTTTACAGGATTTTCTTTCTTTTCTAGATTTTAGAAGTGAAAAGTCCAATAAAGCAAAACAAATCTGATAAACAAATAAAGAATGGGGATTGTGATAAGGTAAATGAGAATGAGGTAACAGTAAACTAGTCCAGAATGTGATATTAATGTATTTACTAAACACCAACCTTTGTTACAGAATGAAAATCTTAGTAATTAGTACATCTTTGCTCTGGGTTCCTTTAGGTGCAGATCTTTCATCTTTTTTTTCTGTAATTCTTTCTTCTTCTGTCCTGTTTTGAAAGTGTTTTCCTTCTCTTAAATCCATATGGTGATTTGGTAAATGTCATCAGTTGGGAATCTGCCATCTATTATTTATTTTATCTACTCTCCACCATGAGTTTGCATTGTGCTTCACAGATTAGGTGATAATTTTTGAAGAGGAGAATTCATAGCTTTATTCCTAGCCAATAAATCAATCAATTAAAAAAAAAAAAAAATCAATCTATTTTCCAGAATCCTTTCTGAGGGCTGTGCATTAGGAAGGGGCAGTGTGATTTAGCATGTTAACTAGAATGATATGAAGCAATAGTTACCATTTAACACTGAGAAGACAGTTTTGTTTAAAATCATGTCAGCTGGCCATAGGTAAGAGCTCTAAGTCCTTAGCTCTAAGAATGAACATAGCACAATTTCCCAGTGTGGACAAGTTCCTCTGAAGGTTCATATCTTAAAAGTATTAGTGTCAACTTTGTGATAACGTGAGGCAGGAGACCAAAGTTTCAGTATATGTTTCTAGATTTTCAGTGGCCTGATCCATACAGTTTTTGGTTTCTTTAGCTGGGTGCCGTATCTCTCTCTGCTTAAGAGAAAAAAAGGTTTCTGATGGCTCGGGCTAAAGGAGAAAGTTGATAATTGGGTGGAGAGGTGAGACATGTTTGACATCGCAGGAAGGAAGACAGTGGAATTTACCATTGGATTAATCTTGCTTGATCTTTCGCTCCTTAGATCTCCTTGTTGACACAGAAAATTAATTGTGTAGCTTTAGAGAAAAAGAGGGATTTGATTGTGAGCCTTTGGGTTTGGGTCTTATGTGGAAAGGTGGGAGATGTTTTTTAAACATGCTGTTTCGGCATCCCCAGTCTGTTTGACAGTTTTTGCCACAGTTGAGATACAGAGATTCTCTTCTACAGCAAAGGACCACCTGATTCCATGTTGATGGATGGAATCATCCATTCTCATGATGGATGAGAAAATCAGGACCACCTGATAGGATTTTCATTGGCATGAAGTATCTAAGAAAACCCACAAATACTTACATCTGGGTTGCATTAAGCTAGAGAAAGCCAGACTACTAAATAAGAAAATTTAGCTCAAAGAGGATTTAAAATAAAATTTCAATTTGTTTTGTTTTTGAAGACATCTGAAGTTTTTGAAATACATAGCTATGACTTAATTAACAAGTTTTTTATGGGGGGGGGGGATTTGTTTCTAGGCATATCTCGATGAACTAGTAGAGCTCCACAGAAGATTAATGACACTGAGAGAGAGACATGTACTGCAGCAGGTGAGGAGCACTCTCATGCAATATCACAGTGTGCTCATTGAAACTGTGAAGTCACATATATTTTTTCCCCTTCATCTAAAACTCTATGATCAGGTTTAATAGCCTTCAAGCCTGTATAATCCATATACAGCCCATTACCACTTTCAGTGAAGCTTAGGGAATTTTTACACATACTTTAAATTGTGTTGTCACACTGAATGACAAATTAAAAAAAAAGTGCCTATCTGAGCTAAATTTTTCACCAATTCATTTTTATGTTTCTCAACATACTGTACCAATAATTATGAAAAGAGGATGGGAGAATGGATATAGCTGTGCACCATGACTTGATAAAAATCTTGTTGCTTTTTCCTGAAAATGACTGGCTTTTTCTCAGAAACAATTAAAGATGTTTTCTATGGCAAACAGAAAACATGGAATTCAAAGCAAAACTCACTTTGGGCAAATGACAATATAGTAATTGGGTCTTCTGAAGTCATGGAAGGAGTAAAATATGAAAATGTGCAAACCAAGAAGGCTCCGAATTTATTGAAAGATTATCCAATAGTAAGAGCAAAGAATAGTATTCGTTGTTTTGGATGGCATTGTCAGGTACTATTGGATTACAAATTGTGAAGATTAAACAATAAGCACTGTTAACAAAGCAGATGTAATTGTAGCACAGATGGTTTTATTATGTTCAGTGCAATTATGTGCCAGTTGTGGACACGTTGTAAAGAGGGAAATTTTTGCCACTTCTAAATGATTGCAATCACTCATCAAATTTCTCAACACTTGGATAAGTTTTTTAAAAATATTTTGTAAGCCCCAGCATTAATCTGTTTATTAGTTCAGGCTCAATATTGTGAGTAAAGATGAGAAAACAATTGAGAGGTCAGTGGAAAGGAAGACCTTGGTTAAGGTTATTCTTAGTTAAAGAGGAATTCTGATAGTTTTGTCAGATTTCGTAAGTTACGATACACAGTGATGCATATTGGTCATCCTTCATATTTAATGTACTGTTGTTTCCCAAGTTCCCTTTTGTCTACAAAGGGAACTAAAGCACACTTTCAGAATGATGGCAGAGGCGAATTTTTATCTACATTGGGAAATTACTGTGCAGGAGGCTAAAAGGTAGGAACACCCTCTCCACTTTACATTATTCATTAATTCTTAAGGAGTTTGCATAAAAAGTTAATCTGAAAAAGCCACTGTATTCTAAATTCATGCCCTAGCTTTGCTTCCTGAGCGCTTACTTCCCCAGTTATCCAAGGCTTTTGAATGGTTTCACTTCTGCTAGACCTCTGTAGCCAGCATAACGCCGTTACCAGCTATCGGTACAGAACTGCACCACTGTCCTAGCCTGCACAGTCCGGCCATAAATCCAGCTTTCAGTGGAGCTGTATCGACTGCCTGCAGAGCATAGGGCTTAAGTGGCTTCATGTGAAATTGTTTTTCTGCAAAGCAAAGACAAAAACAAGCAAGAAACGTCGTTTCCCCATGAAGGTGGTCTAGCAGTGGAACAGAGTCCTGGAGAAACTGTGCTGTCTCCATCCTTGGAGCTTTTAGAATCCTGACTGGATAAGCTCGGAGCAGCCTGATCTGACCCCATGGTTGAGCCTGCTCTGGGCAGGGGCTGGGACTAGCAAAATCCCTTCCAATCGGAATCCTCCTGTCATCCTAAAAAATATTTTCCAAGCAAATAAGATGGTTCAAGTTGAATCCATAATCTTCTTTCTCATCTAGTAGCATTTAATTGTATTTGGTGGGCAAGAAATATTTACCTTTGTTAGAAAAATGATGGGATCGCCCACTAAAGCTTCTTCAGTCTGTTAGAGTACTGTTATAATCTGCTTCATGGTAAGTTACTAATACAAGGGAAAACTGTGTGAAAAGAGACATAACTAAGCTGGAAATTTAGAGTATCCTATTCTAAGTAAATGAAAAAGACAGTATATTCTTATGCATTTTAAACTAAAGATAGACTTTTTCTTTTCTCCTGGGTGTATTTATCAGATGAGAAAGCATTCATTCATTGACCTTCGCCTTGCAACTCATGTGAAGAGTACAATTTTAATACTGTAGTCCATGACTCCTCATAGCATAGTGTTTAATTAGTTATATTATAAAAGTTAGGTTGATGTAGAATTGGTGTTGCCTTGTTTACTGGGGAACTGTTCTTGCAGATTGTTTCCCTTCATTTGGAGTGTGTGCAGGCAGTCAATACAGCCCCAGTGAAAGCTGGATTTATGGTGGGACCGTGCAGGCTAGGACAGCGGTGCAGTTCTGTACTGATAGCTGGTAACTGCGTAATACTGGCCACAGAGGTCTGCCAGAATTCAATGGAAGGGCCAAGTTACTTAGCAGTTGTCTGTTAGCCAGTCTGCACTAGCAAATGGTCTATGCTGTTACAAAACAAATAATGCAGCTTAGTTTTAAAGCCTTTAATCCCTTAATATTCTGCAATTCATTAGTTCATATGATTTTATCAGTTTACAGAAATATGTTCACAATATTGAAAGGATAACTTGCAGAGAATCAGTGCTTCTCTGCATTACAAATAAACTGTCATCCCATCTTAAATGTACTTACTGCTTTGCAGCTATGTAATTAATGTAAAATACTTCCGGTGAGCGCAGAAATAAAGAGTACAGAGCTGAGAAAGTTTTTAGGAATGAATGTGAAACTTCTAGACCAAGAAATACGAGTATATAGAGACTATAGGAAGTACAAAGGCCAGGAGAGCAAGGGATAAAACTGCAGAAAGGGATGGTGGTTACTGCATGAGAAGAGGAATTGAGTGCAAAAATATGCAACAGAAAACTGTAAATAGCTGCAAGAGTTTTAAAGGCGATGGGGCTGTTGAAGTGGAATGGTGGTGGAGTTCTGTGTTCCTGAGTGGTGATTGTTATCTCTTTAGTTTATGTCAGGGCAGGTAATAATCTGTTGTACATGTCAAAGTCTGCTACCCACAGACTTTTAGGGAATTTTTAGAGAAGGGACTTGCAAGAGAAGAATGAAGGCATTGATCATTCAAAAGCGCTGTCTTTTGAAACTTATGCTGAGGGATGTGAAAAGGAGAAGACAGGTTTTTGCAATCTCAGTTGTTTGCTGTCATGCCTATGGACTTGCTAACAGGAATGCAGCCGAGTTGGAAATGAGAAGAATGTATCTGTTTGAGAATGTGGCTCTTTCCCAAGAGAGGCATTTCTCTTTGAGACACTTTGTTAATGGAAGCTGAAATAAATCTGCAAAAAAGAGGGAGGAGGCAGGAGAGATGTGATACTGAACTGCAAGTGCCTGGATATGTAGCTATGTAATCCTGATGTAAAATGATACTTACATAAGAATTGCGCAAGAGGGAGAAGGCAGGTGATAAAGAACATTTGACCAAGAAATTAGTCCTGTGAGAATCACCTGCACAATTTTTATGTGAATATTGGACAATGGCTAGACAGAAATTGGCCTGAAATTATATTTTAAAAAGAAATCTCTTTCCCACCTCTTTCACTGTAAAGAAAGGGTTTGGGATTTACAGTCATGAGGCTGCTTTTTTTTTTTCTTTTTAACTCTCTGATTTCCAGTGAAATAGAAGGGATAATGGAGTCTGCAATCAGATGCTAATGCTGCATATCCCACATATTCAAATTTGGCTGGCTAAAGCTGGGTTCCTAACTCTGCATTTTCAGTGCAGATGATGTTGATCTTGATGACCCCATGAAAGGCAACAAGATTTCTGGTAAGACTGCCTCTTACTTTGAGGCATCAGAATCCCCTTAAAGCCAGTGCACTAGGCAGCACAGGCATAAGGAAGAAATTGAGAGTATGCAGCATTGCTGAAAATTACATTGCTCATGTCCACAAGGTGCTTAACTTCAGATGGCAACTATCTTCTGAAAATTTTCTGCAAGGGGCAGCTTGCAGGTCTAGAAACTATCAAATGGCCTAAAACCCTCCATAAATTGAAAAATGACTGTCATTACTTGCACTTTGGCTTCTTTAAACACACACACACACTCATTTGCTTGTTTAAAGGCAGATAAATAGTTGTACTATGATGAATAATGATGAAACTGAGCTGGAGAGACATTATATAAACAGAGATGTAAATTACAGCAGAAAAGCAAAGCTTACTATAGCAGGAACAAATGGGATATTTTTGTTCTTTGCAGCCTGAGCTCTTGGAATAAAACATTTTAATGCTGTGTTTTTAATATTATAACTGTCAGACTTCCTGGCAACTAATCTCAACCTTTTATTCTTTTTCAACTATTTCTGAATAGCATAAGGATGTGTATGCTAATACTATAAGTCATTAATTCCTCATTGACTGGCATACAGGCAGGTGTTTTTCATTGAGCTGTCTGCATTTATCTTGCTACATTTTTGTATATCCATTTAAACTTTTGGGGTTCATTTTAGTCTGATTTACCAGGTGCCCTGACATAGTGGCTATATTTCTTGGGGGTGGATGATGGATATGTTTAAAATGTTTATATTTCCCTTGGCCTAGAGCTTAAAAGCCCAAAGCAGAACCTGATCAATAAAAGTGCTTATCAATTTTTAAAAATAACAGTGCGGTTTAAAAATAGATATGTTAACACTTTCATGTAATCTTTGTTTCTAAAATCACATATACTGCTGTGGGAGTTATAAGGGGTGGTATTCTTCCACCATAACACAAGGAAGCGTTAGAATTGTTCAGCGTAGCTACATCTTCATGGCCTCGGCTTCTGTAAACTTCATGTGCAGCCATTTATTTATCATACAATGGATATTCAGAGACCAAACCTGAGATTAGATTCCTAACTTTACAAAAGGAGGCTGGATTGACTCTTTAGCTTCTCTCTTAGATGAGCCTCAAGAAAGTGCCAAAAATGAGAATGACAAATAACACACATCAAAGTTTCCTTTCTGGTAACAATCAGTTTTGTCCCATTTGATTTTTTTGTTCACTCATGTTAATTGCAGAACAGTAGGAGATGGAAAAGTGTTACAACAATCTATGAATCAACAAGTGGACAAATGAAATTGGCAATTTTAGATTAAAAATTCCCATATGGAAAAAAATTAAAGCCAAGAGGCACAGATTTAAATGAAGTGTTAATAAGAGCAGGATTGTTCCGAAGTAATTTTGGAATTTTGGACAGCTGCAAACCAAATTAAACAGATTTTACTTTTATTTTTTTCCAACCTGGAAAATGGGAGGTGATTGGAAAGGGAGATTTTTACTGTAGCAGGCATTTCCCTCTTACTATTTTATCTTGTTTCCATTCTGTTTAATCCACCCTGGGCTGTGTCATTCCATGCCTGACAATACACATGAAGTTATTTCATTTATCATCAACATAGTCTTTTCTTCTGCGGTCTGAGGAGAAAAAATATCTGTTTATATAATGAAACGGGGAGTGGAAAATTACAAGAGAGTTAGTTTAAGTTCATTGTTCTTTTTCAAGTTGGTGTATTCCTACCAGATTTGTCATCTTAAGGTATGCCCTGTAAGTCATGTGTGCATACATCTGTATCTCCTCCAGCTGTGGAAAAGGAATTACAGTCAGAGTAATAAAGCTCAAACAAGCAAGGAATATCTAGCAGCAGTGTTTCAGTGGAGGTATTTGTGGAAGCCCTAGAACTGTATGGATGCAAACAAGACATTGAGCCCAGCCTGAGTGCTGCAGAAGGGATGGTTGGAAAGACTGAGCAGAAGAGCGATGTTCTGTCAGTCCATGACACTACCCAGAGACCCGGTTTGGGGTGGGGTGCCTTTCTGTGTGCTCACTTCATAGCCATAGTGTGTTGGCACTGTGTTAGCCCTATCTGACAAATAATGCTTTGGCTTTCCAAGATGCTGAATGGGTTTTATAGGTAGGTGCACGTCCTAGAACTTAACATATCTGGAGTTACTTGTTACAGCAATTCAGTGTTGAGTATGACCACTCTTTAAAAATGTAGACTACAATTCAAAGACTAAAAATGTCAAAACTGCAGAAAGGCACAAGTTAGGTAAGTACTGTTCATTTCACAGAATCATAGAATGGTTGAGGTTGGAAGGGACCTCGGGGGGTCATCTGGTCCAACCCCCCCCTGCTCAAGCAGGGACGTGCAGAGCTGGTTGCCCAGGACCATGTCCAGATGGCTTTTGAATATCTCCAAGAATGGAGACCCCACAACCTCCGTGGGCAACCTGTGCCAGTGCTCAGTCACCCTCACAGTGAAAAAGTGTTTCCTGATGTTCAGAGGGAACCTCCTGTTTGTGCCCATTGCCTCTTGTCTTGTCACTGGGCACCACTGAAAAAAGCCTGGCTCCGTCTTCTTTACACCCTCCCTTCAGGTATTTGTACACCTTGATAAGATCCGCCCTGAGCCTTCTCTTCTCCAGGCTGAAGAGTCACAGCTGTCTCAGCCTTTCCTCATAGGAGAGATGTTTTAGTCCCTATTCTTCTCAAGAACTCCTAACAGCTCTTCTGTTTCCTGTTTGAATGAAAGCTGTGATTATAGATTAAATAGTCACCAGAAGAAGTGATCTTATGCCATTGGTCTTTCATGGTTGATTTGGTTTAAAAAATTGAATTTAGTCTGTTACTCAAGAAATAACTGCTAATATGTGAACTAACAGTTGATGTGGGAGCTCTTGAATACATTTTTTATTTGATATGGACTAGATTCTATAAGGATTTATTTCTTTCCCTTGCTTGCAGAAAGGCTTATGCCAATTATTTTCTAAAGTAACCTGCTTAGCAGCTATGCACACAGTAAATATTCCAGACAGAGATCTACCTGGGATTTTTTTTATTTGTTTGGGCTTGGGGGGGAGAGGGGGGGTGTGCTCTTTCTTTTTTTTTTTTTTTTAAAAGACCGACTTAGAAAATATGCAAATTTTCTTTTAACATTTGAAAAATATATTCTCAATGGTAATGTTTGCTGGAACAGCAGATGGGTAGGCTGGCATTATGGTTGATGATGATCTAAAAAAAAAAACCACGAGGTACTGTAGTCTGGACCATAGTTCGTGTCAGGAAGTAATGGTTTAACATGCAAGTATTGGGGCAATTGGGCTTGTTTTATGCCTTTCATATGATACTTGGTGGCATGTTAATACATAAAATGGGTATGTAAAACTGCTGAAATTTTCAACTGCATCTTTTCTTTCCTTTCAGATAGTAAATCTTATAGAAGAAACTGGACACTTTCATATCACAAATACAACCTTTGACTTTGATCTTTGCTCACTGGACAAAACCACAGTCCGTAAACTACAGAGTTATCTGGAAACATCTGGAACCTCCTGAGGATTCAGCATCTGGCTGCATCAAAACCTGTTCTTTAAATGAAACATTCAGAATGATGCAATCACAATGGGGGGAAAAACCAAAACAACCCTCTTCAGCTTTATTTTCCCTTAAAGCCAGTCATCATCTCTTGATAAGGGAGAGGAAAAGTGACAAGACTCAGAGGACCGCTCTTCTCAAGAAGAAAATGCTCTGGAAGAGTTTGCCTGGGTAGCCTTGAAAAACAAACACACAAAAACAAACAAAAATACTTGGTCTTAATGAATGTGTCCGGTATCATGTATCTCTCTCTGTGGTGTTCCAGTCCACAAGATGAATGCATGTTCAACACACTGCCTTATTACGTAACTGATCTATTTATTACTGCATACATGTATTCTGAAGTCAATGGGTCATTGAATGACACTGCCAGATGTTGCAAGTAGTGGCGTCCCATATGTGCTCTTTCGATGCAGTACTACCACAAGCCTAGTAACCTTACTCATGTTAAAATGCCACTTCTTGCTATCTTTCTCTAGTCACTTAAAACACTACAGTCTTGTTTCCACTTCTGCAGTTCCAGTAAACAAGATACAAATTTGGGGACCAAACAGTGGTCCCTTTTTGTTTCCTGTCTGCCACACTGGGTTGGACCACACCAGGTTGGACCGCAGGTCCTTGGCTCTATCCATTTATTGATCTTGGTACAAAATGCACCAAATAGGATCATATATGACTTGCTGTCTAACCTTAGTGAATAAACCTGTAGGACTTTTAACAAAAAATGTTATGTATACTATCCTGAATCCAGCGTCTTTTGCAGTCTACATTTTTGTGTCTGTTTTAATGTTATAAAATTAAATATATATGAGCAAAGGTGTTCTGCAGGATCATCATAAAAGAAGAAATACTGGTCCTGTCTTCTAAGGAAATGTTGTAGAAAATTCTTAATTTGGAGCTATTTATTACTATGAGTGTCAACACTCCTCTGCTGCAAGTGTGTGACTCACTTTTACCATAAAACTATTTGCATAACATTTTTGTTTGTTCATATAGTATAAGGTCTGCTTAGTTTGTTTTGGGGTTTTGGTTCTGGTCTTGTTGGGTTTTTTACAACTGCTAAATTAAAACCCTTTATTTGAAAAGAAAAAAATACGTTTTTTATACAGTTTCATGTTAGAATAAATACATATATGATATATCGTGTATATATGTGTGTGTATACACATATACACACACCTGTGTATATATACACACAAACATGCATATATGCTCTTTACACTTTCCAGATTTTGGTATCTGTTTAATAACCTGCTTGTGTTTCCAGAAGGATTTATTGTCTATAAAAATGAGTATTCTTTCATACCTTCTGTTATTCCTTAAAATCAGGATCATTGTTTATACATGGTCAAATGAGAGGATGTGTACTCAGTTTCACATCAAAGCTCCGTGCTCTCATATTGCTGATGGTTTCTTGATTAAATCACCACTTTTCTATTAGAAGTTCAAATCCCACAATGAAGAGAGAAAAGAATTTAAAAAAATATACTTCTGGATGCAAAGGTTTATTCAGGTTTACCAGCCTTAAAAAATGTATCTTGTTTCTGGACAGGCCAGTATGTCATGTGTATGCTTATATGCTACATGTAGTCTGTATGTGTAGAACTGAACAGTAGTATCTGTATGACTTACTGTTTCATGTGCACAGTTTGTGCAGCACTGTAAAACTAAATTCCTATTGGGGTTATTTCTTATCCAGATGGTAAATCTTAATACTGTTTCTTTAAGTCCAAAGAAAATTTTACACTTTACTCTTTTTGAGAGGGCGGGATATGGATTGGGTTGGGGGGCTTTTTTCTTATTTAAAATGTTGTTTGACCACACTCTGCAGGAAGTCCTTCTCCGGCTTCCCAAGAATAAGTGTACTTTTTCAGTAATGTTATGACTCTCATTGATGATTGGCATGAAGCATACTTGAAGCGTTATGTTGTTCTTTTAAGTCCATGTCTTAATGTGCAATTGGGGGAGGGTAAGGAGTGGAGTATAATTTTAAAGTTACTTTTGACATAAGGCAGGTGATGGTGGGGAGGGGGAAGAGGTGCATGTGAAGGGGATAAACTCCAATTTTTATTGATTATTTTATATGAAAATGTTTGGAAATCTAAAAGCAACTTTAAAAATGTTTGGTCTACTAGTGTGTGTTCAACTTCCTATCTTTTAGTTATACCAGATACATATGGAATTTTGTCCATTTTGACTTTTCTAACTAAGTTTTGTGGTAAAAATTAATTGAGTTTCAGGAGGGGAGGAATCCCATAATACTTCTGGTATGACTATTGCACTGTTTTGTTAGAAATAGTGAAATGAATAATTTTACCCTTAAAATACCAGATAAGCTTTATTATACACTGAGAACAAGGGTGGAAGAAAACAGCAAATAGGAGAATAGGCATAAAAGCGAGATGACAGCAATTACAGTATCAAGTTAGTGCTGAATTTCATGCAAACTGTGGATCATCCTTAAACTCTTAAATTTTCTAATTCAATGGGAGAGGGAAGAAAATAGACTGCAGTTGTCTGTGTGTGTTGGCTTTTTCACAAAATTTTGATAGAATAAGAGTTGCTAAGTGTTGATCTAAATTTAAAAAAACAGCTATTTTCATCTAATTTTGTATGCAGAAACAAAATAAATCCTTGTTCACTTAATTTCAGACATTCATATTTCTCTTAAAGAAAAAATAGTAAGATAGCCTTCCAAGTCTTTAACATATAAGAGCATTGATCTTTGGGATGGGTTAAGTGTTTTGGCAATAAATGTTTTGGAGTTTTACTTAACATCAAGCTGTTGAAAACAAAGTTATACGTGAGAATTTGGATTAACTCATTGGGGTGACCAGACAGAGGTTAGCAGTAAGTTGCAATATGTAAAAAATCATTTTCAACATAGGTGAGTCACTGTTACTAGAACAGTAGTTGTATCCAATAATAAGGACAGTTTTCATCTCGCCGCTAACTTTTCACCTTAGAAAGTGGATGTCCAACTGGGTAGACAAGTTTTAACATCTTTTTAGAAGTTTGAATCCACTGAGAGGCTTTACAAAAATTACAATATCATCTAGATTTGAAGGCCATCTTAGTCCATGCTAAAGAGAAAGAGCAAGAAAGGAGAAAGGGGCATACACTGAAGTGAGGAGAGTCTTCCAAGGTAAAACAAAACCCATACTCAGTCTTCAGCATTTGGATCATAAGAAATAGTTGATCATTTCTCTCTCTCTTCTTTTCATTGGTTGGGTGTTTTTAGGTTAAGTCTATACTTTCAATTTCAGAAGCAGAGTACACACAGTACAGTGCGTCTGGAAAGCCCACTATATTTCTATTAAAGTTTCTTTTAGTCTGGGGGAAGGAAATTACAAGTTCTTGGGTTTTGCCTGACCCATTGTCCTTCTTTCCCATTCTCACAGTGAAATAAAGTATGTTCACAATCTGGTTTGGGTCTTTACCTGGTAAGTATAATTTGTTTTCTTAGAAGCTATTCCGGTGTTTTGGGGTCTTTTGAATGACCCGTTGATTTCAAGCCCCATTATTTAATTTGCCAAATTAATGGGAAAGCTGTAGAACGGTCCGAAGAGAAAACTGCCCTGTTCAGTTGTTGTATGCATTATCTTACTCCAGACACTGCTCTGATGGTCGAATGTTTGATTTGCTTCATGCTGTCTTTGTTCATACACATCATATCCCATCCTTTACCACTTGCTGTTTAATGGCAAACTGTATTTTTTAGCAAACTCTTGTTTCAGTCTATAGGACTTGTTATTTTTGTGTTTGCTCATTGGTCCATTGACTTGCACAGTTTGCTGTAGTGCGATGCACTGAAATTGAGACTTCTGGTGAAAATTTTGTCGCACTTTCAGCCATAGCAGGAGCTAGCAGGAACAGTGAAAATAAGCAGTGCAAAATGTGTTTTTATAAGCCTCAATAGTTTTCTTAATTGTTAAGCAGTATATGGTAGAATGTAGTGTAGACCAGGAAGCTATTCTGTATACTGTACCAAGAAGCTTTACTGTTGGGCATAAAAAGCTTACAAACAGATGATGGGGACTAAAACTCATATATCTGCAGTGCTTTTGTGTCTGCTTGGAAGTTAATCAGTGCATTAACACAGCTAAACCAATGACATTTACAAGGCTGGCTCTGTGTCTGAGCGAGCAGATAAATTAACATCAAAGCACAATCACATAAGGGCCTTGCATTTACTTGAGCAGCAAGAAATGCCACTGCGACTAGACAGGAAGGAGAAGTAGTACCATAGTGAGAACAATACCCTTCAGGGGGCGGGGGGGCCTGGGGAAAAAAAAGGAAAAAAAAAAAAAAATCCCTTAGTAGCTGGATGCGGTTCCTTATGTTAAGATAGAGAATACAGTTTGCTGGTCAGCGGTTCTGTCTGCTGTAAGATGACAGGGTGACAGCTTGCAGAGTGGCAGCTTCTTTGGTTCACTGCTGTAATAATTGTGTTGTTGCTGACCTGATGAGAGAGAGATGTATTGCAGCCTCATACAAAAATCTAAGCTGTCTTATGGTTTGAGATGCTAATGTCTGTTTAATATTTGTTTGAATATTGCATCTTATTTATATTCTATGTTTTACCTCAGCCAGATTGACTCTACTGCAAAGTGATAATCTTGCATTTTTCATTTTTCATTCACTTTTAATTTTTCCAGTCTGGAAATTTCAGCAAAGTCAAATGTAGGTCTGTGAATACAGCAGAAAATGTATTTTCATCATCATTCAGTATAATTTTGACTGGAAGTAACCCCTTCCTGAATGTTACATCAAAAGGGTCATGCATTTTCCTATGTTCCTTCAGAGAACTGATGCTATAAAGTTTACGAATAGAATTTCCATTCGTAAACTTTACCCTTCTCATCACAGTGAGGAATAAACGGTTACCTTTTATCATTGCTCACAGGGAGACAGAATTCAAGGTCTGGGTCCTGGTTAGGAAATAGTAGGTTTGTGAAGCTGTCAGTTACATCTTTTTAGTAAGACCTAGAAATAAAGCCTATCTCTTTAGGGGAGGAAAAGAAGGGGAGGAAAAATCCACTAAAAATATTTTCAGTCTGATAATGGTGGGGTTTTTTGAACAGGTATATTTCCCTTTCAAATCCTTAAGCATCTGACAGCCACTAGAGAGACTACATACAAACCATTAAGGAATCAAACGTGTTGAAAAGATAAATGAAATAAGTTGTATTAAAAGCCTGGCTGCGCAAGTAATAAGGTCGTAATGCTGATACTGCTTTCAGTGCAGTGCAGACATTCCTAGCACATGTGGTTTGTGTATCCACATCTGAGTGGGTGGTCTAGAAAACAGTGCAAAATGCCGCAGGAGGGCTTAGTTTTTGAGCAGTGCAGAGGAGACATTCAGGATAGGCTCAGCCAGCACCATCCAGGCTATCCAAGGTAAAGCAGTTTTCTTTCAATTTTCATGAGCAGCTAAGTTTTCACTTTGCCTATTAGTCTAAATATTTGAATTCTTTTTTGCAACTCTATTAGTCCCCACTCAAAAGTTTCATGCTTGCTAGGGACTTGGTTAGGTTTGTGGTGGTTGTTACTTTCTTTGGGCAGGGCATGAGAAGATAGAAGTGGAACGTGGTAGTGACTTCTTTTTTAGTATTATTTTGTACTT